TACCACACACACACACACACACACACACCTTCTAAGCGCTGCCGAGGAGCTTGGCGCTCACAAAAAAGACATACGGAGATGGTATGCGCCCGCTCCACTGACAAGTGCCAGACGCCTGCGAAGTGCGATCCCCCGCTGCTTGCACACCGCTTTCAGCTTGCGTGACTGGCTGTCCAAGTAGATCACCTATAGCACGGCCGTGGGAATGGTTAGGCCTTGGAGCCACGGGCGACAGCGTGAGTATGTATCAGTTCGCGGCCTTCAACAGCGGGACTGTTCCCTCCTTGAGGAGGACAGCCAGCGCCTCGAGCCCCTCGCGCCCAATATTGTTGAAATCGAGAGAGAGCTTCTCAAGCCGAGGGGCAGCCCCCTTACCGAGGGCGTTGGCCAGCGCCTTGAGCCCCTCATCACCAATGCGGTTGTGGCTGAGATCGAGCTCCTCGAGCCGCGGGGCGGCCCCCTCCTTGCCGAGGGCAACGGCCAGCGCCTTGCAGCCCTCGTCGCCAATCTGGTTGCCATCGAGGTTGAGCTTCTTCAGCCGCGGGGCGAACCCATTTGCGAAAATCACTGCCAGCTGCGCCGCCTCTGCGTCGCCCCAGAGGAGCCAGTCATAGTACAAAACGGTCACTTCCGCAAACTGCTCCTTGAAGGAGGCCTCGTACAACTCCTTTACGAGCGGCTTGTCTTCCTTGCCATTGGTGAAGCTCTTCTCCTCTAGTTCCTCGGTGAACTGTGGCGGCAACAATGGTGGCCGCCGGCCGCCCCCCCTTGCGCACTCCTTGATGAGGTTGTGGTAAGCAAAGAGGCGGTAGTTGCTTTTCATCCGGCCGAGGTCGAGCGACTTGTTCGACCATTTGGTGAGGCTCGACCATGCTGACTCGGTAGCGCACCATCCACGGTCAGCATACTCGCTCACATTATTGTCGTCGGCCAGGTCCTTCTTATAGCCCTCTGGGAAGGAGGGTAGTCGCAGCACGAGCGTGTGCTGATGCGAATAGAGCGTGCCAAGGCAGCCTAGGCCCTGTTTGAAGAGCGCGTTCTGCGCCTCGGTGCGCATGAGGTCGTTGGCGGGATCGGGGTGCTGGTGCAGCGAAAGGAAATCCCAGAAGACGCCAAACCGCTGGCCGGTACTTGTGAGGGCCTTGAGCGCCTTTGCCACGCGGCGGAGGTTGGCGCCGTCCGGATCGGGGTGGCCATGGGTCAGCCACGGGTAGGAAAGGGCGATGATGGGTAGTCCCCACAGAGATCGTCTGGTTGCCAAGACAAGGTCGTTGAACGAGAGGAAGGCCACGTTGGGAACTTCTTGTCGAGGCTTGAGGACGCCACCCGCCGCAGCGTATGCAACTATCCAACCGGCGTCAATGAAAGCGATGGCGCCACTCGCAATGACCGACTCGAGGTCACAGCCACCGTACTCACGCCACCTCTTCAACCTTGTTTCAAAGAGCTTCTCCTCTTTCCCGGTCGCCATTGCGATGGCCCGCTGAGGGCGCCTCACGTGTCCGTCCGCCCCGAGGCGCGGGCGCGGCGCGGGCGCCGCGTTTGATCGAAGTTACTCCAGCAGTTCCAGCAGTCAGTCAGTGTTACACACGTCCTAGCATGGACGACGGGGCACACGCACTCGCGGAAACACAGGGCATTACACACGAGGCGTTGTGTGCGTTCTCAGGGAAAGGCATCACCACAGACAAAAGTTTAGTCAGAGGGGCAGCAGTGGGGACCCCCACTCACGACCCCGCGGGCGCCTGTAGCGAGCTGTCCATCGCTGCATTGGTTCTCGCCAAGCATGAGCGCACTGGTTTAGTGCGCGCAATGCGCGGGGAGGGCGGCCTAGCCCTCGCCGGCATGGCAAAGAAGGCGTCGGGCGGGCGCCTGTTCTCCAGCGTCTGGCGCCAGGCCGAGCGATCGGCGGCGAGCTCGGGCCACCTCGAGCGGTCGATGTGGAACTTGTCGAGCGCGGTGCGGATGCTGCGCCCAAACGTCATGTTGGGGCACCCGATCGGCCGGCCGTGAGGCACCCACGATGAGAGCATGCGACGAGGTAGGCGATTGAAATCCATCCTGCTGACATGCCCGAGCCAGCCCAGCCGGCGTCGGTCGATGTAGTAGTCGATGAAGTCGAGACCTAGCCTGGCGCAGAGTTCGCCAGTCGTGATGTGGTGCTCCCACACGTGCTTGCGAGTGACACGACACATCGCACGCACGCACTGTGCGTGGAAGACGCGGAGACGGTGGAGGAGGCGCTCGGTGAGCGCCCAGCACTCGCACCCGTAGAGCAGGATGGAGAGGATGAGCGAGGTGTAGACCGCGCGCTTGGCGGCAAACGAGACGTCCCTCGAGCTGAAAAGGCACTTCCGAAGAGCGCCAAAAGCTCGGCCTGCCGACTCGATCCGGCTGTCGACGTCGAGCCCGTCGCTGCAGTCGCGGTTGAGGTAGCTCCCAAGATATTTGAAGCGGTCCACGACCGGCATGAAGTAGCCGCCGGGCAGCTTGATGTCGGACAGGTCGGCGCCGTCGTAGGTGGCGGGGTTGTTGTACGAGGTCGGCGCCGCCGCGCAGAAGAGCACCTCCGACTTCGAGTCCTTGCGAGGCTCGCCGTTGGAGCCGTCCTTGCCGACGTGGATCTCCATGCCCCAGCGAGCGAAGTGCGCGACCACCTTGGGCGTCTCGACCTCGACGCCGCGCCGAGAGCAGAAGGCGAGGCCCGCGTCGTCGGCGTACATGGAGTCTCTGAGGGAGAACTCAACATCGCCGACGGTAGACGGGCGCCGACCGGTGAGGACAAAATCGTTCTTCGAGCGGACGACGCACAGCTCGAAGTCGTGGTGGAGGCGCCACGTCTCCATGACCGCCGCCATGAAAAAGATGAACAACTCGGGGCCGAGTAGGTCGCCCTGCTTGACGCCGATAATCGAGTCGATCACCTTCTTCACGCCACCCACCTCGAACTGGACCTTGACCGTCGCATGCAGCGCCTTCAGCAGCGAGACGATCTTGGGAGGCACGCCCTGCTTCAGCATCACGCGCCAAAGCAGCTCGCGCGGTACACGGTCAAACGCCTTGACCAGGTCGATTAGCAACAGCCAGGTCTCGAGACCATGCTCTCGACGCTTCTTGATCAGCGTTTTGATCGAGAATATCGCGTCGAAGCAGCCACGGTTCGGCCGGAAGCCGTTTTGGTTCTCGTGATTCAGCGTTCCACCCTCCTTGATCGGTTTGAGCCGAACGAGGATGATGTTGCCAGCGATCTTGTACGCCGTCTCGAGCATCATGATCCCACGGTAGTTTCCAGGGAGGCTCAGGTCACCCTTCTTGGGCAGGATACTGAGCAGCCCCGTCTCCCACCCCTCGGGCAACTCTTCGGTCTCCCAGAAGTGTTGCACGAGATGTCTCACGAAGCCAAATCCGTCGCTCGTCGACACGAGAGCCTGCCACAGCCGTGCATGCAGGCCTGATGGGCCCGGAGCAGTAGCGTGCAGCTTGCTCGTCGCCAGCTGAATCTCGTCGTCCGACGGTACGTGGTCAAGACCAACGGCGACCGGCCTCTGCGGCAGGTCGTCGAGCACCGAGGGGTCGAAGGACGCCTCTCGACCATACAGCTGGGAGAACGCGTCGGCAAAGACGCTCGCATTCTCCTCTGGCGTGTCAGCGAGAGAGCCATCGGCCTTTTTCATCTTTGCCGGTGGTGCACGGCGCGGCGGCGCGAGGCCAGCCTTGAGCACCTTTACGGTCGCCCAGGCGGCCGCGGATCCCGTGGCGCCGCAGATGCCATCGTTGATGGCGGTGCATTTGCCGAGGATCCAATCCGACTTGGCACGCCTGATTTCGAGCTGCACGCGTGAGCGCGCCTCTCGATATCGAGCGGCAGCGTCCGCCGTCGGTTGCCGCTGATGAGCGTTGAAGGTGGCGTTGCGGTTCGCGATGACGGCACGCAAAACGCCCTCCTTCGCCGCAAACCACAGCGGCGCAGGCCGCTCACGCTTGGGGAGCGTCTCGGCAGCGGTCTTTTCCACCGCCTTGGCCAGTGTTGAGTACGATACGGCCGAGGCGTCGGATGTGCCGAGGCTCATCACCACATCCGTAGCGAACTGGACCGCCTGGTCCTGGTTCAGCAACGGTGCGGTGTCGAGTCGAGCGAGCTGAGCACGCGGCTCCAGTTTGCGTCGAAGCCGCACTGTGAAGCGCAGCTTGCAGAAGACAGCACTGTGGTCGCTGTCGATCAACTGTCCACAGCATGCCCCGGCGTCTGTGAATCTCTTCAAGTCGCATCGAGAGATCATGATGTGATCCAGCTGCTTCTGCAGCTTACTGCACGGGTGCAGCCACGTCCCGTAAAACGGCTTCTTGAAGAACGAGGACAGTGCAGCAAGGTCGTGCAGCTCCATGAACGAGCGCAGGCGGCGCCCAGAGTCATTGAGAAAGTCGATACCATGAGAACCGACCGCACCGTAGTTGACATTTTGGCCGCCAAGGCAGCCGCGTCCGATGCTCGCGTTAGTGTCAGCACAAACAATCACAATGTCGCCGGACTGCCGTCGCGAGAGCACACAGGCGAGAGCGGTCTCATATTCGTCCTTTTCGGTGTCCGGGGCTGTCGAGATAGGCGCATACGACGCCACCTGAAACAGTCCCTGCTTCCTGCCAGCCGAATCTTCAACCTCCATACGCACTGCGATAACCCGCGGGCCTACGTCGTTGTGCACAACGGCTCCAGCTGCTCGCCACGCAGCGACAGCCAGTGGCGAGAGCAGGATGCCGACTCCTTTTGAGCCGCGTCCGTTCTGTACAGCGGGTGCAGCGCCGAGGAAGACGAAGCCGTCCTCCTCAATCTCCTCCAGGCCCGTTCTCCACGTCTCCTGCAGCCCGGCAGAGAAGCCTGAGCGGTATCGGAGAGCGTCGATAGCCTCGGTGAGAGCGCTGTCGGTCTTGAGCCCACGTGCGTTCTGCGAGTAGATGACATGAGTTGGGATCTTCCACCGCTGCACCCTCTGTGCACGCCCGTGGTGGACGCCAGGTGCCCGGCCGCAGCCGGGCTGGAGACGAGGCCCTCGCTTTCCAGACGAGCGACACTCGTGGGGTGTAGTGGCGTTGCTGAAGCGACCAGGACCGTCAGACGGCCTCAAGTGCGCTTGCATATGGCAGCGCCACCCCCGCCGACGCGCTAGCAGCGCGCAGCCTCCATGCCGCTCAAAAGAGGCGGACAGCAGAAAATAAAAAATCCTCTCGTTCTACCTGCAGTAAATAAACAAAACGGAGCGCGGACAGACACGTCCCCACCTTTGCAGGATTTTGCAAAAGCGATGGGGGAGGCGCCAGTCGTGCAGGCGGCGGTAAACTAGTTAGAGGCTGCGCAGGCCTTCCCCGGTATTTTATTAGTCGATACGAGTAGAGCCGCATTATATGAAAACCCCAGAACGGGTCGGACACCGTCCCACGTCGCCTCGCTACAAGACGTGAGTCACGTCACACACACGCCCGCGCGCGCGGGGTCCGGCGAGCCCCCCCCCCCCCCCCCCCTTCTGAGGAAGCCCTCGCCCGCGCCTCGCCTGTCGCGTGAATCAAAGAAAGAAAGAAAGAAAACAGAGAACCCAAGGGAGGGATGGGAGAACGGCACGCCGCCACCACACAGGGATTTTAAGGAGAGGAGTGTGATGCGCTAGCCGTCGCCCACCCTGGGGAGTCTGCCTCTTCGTATCTCTTTTCGCAGTCTCTCGTGAATCAAAGAAAAAGAAAGAAAACAGACAAACCCAGACGAGGGATGGGGGAGGAGGACAGGGTCCCCACCTGCACGAGCAGGATTTTGGAAGGACGATCAGGGGGACAGGTGGGGCTCTCCTGCTCCTGACAAGGGACACGACAGGCTCGTGAATCGTGTCGGGCGAAAACGGTTGTAAAATTCTTTTACAGCCGCCTCACTCGCGCCGCCGGCTGGTTGGTCTTTCACTGCGCACCCATGTCTGTATGGCGATCCAGGCTGCCTTCCCCGCTACCTGTAGTTCACTCGTCACCTCTCCCGCGAGCTCCCCTCTCTTTCTGACGATCCTTCCTTCGACGAAACTCGTGCGAATTCTTTTACAGCCGCCTCACTCGCGCCGAGACGCCGACTCGCTGCCGGCTGGTTGATCTTTCACTGCGCAGGTGCTTCATCGAGCAACGATGAACGGCACCGCCGGCGACGCGCCTTCGCCGCCGGCCGATGTCGAGACCGACACCCGCCAGCTGATCGGCGTCTGCCTCGCGCTCAGCGGGAACCTGCTCGTCTCAGTCGCGCTCAACATCACAAAACACGCTCACAACCTGAACCAGCGCGCGGCAAAGCCGCAGCCGTACGTCAAGCTGCCCCTCTGGTGGACTGGCTTCGTCTCCACCATCGTGGGCGAGCTCGGCAACTTTGCGGCGTACGGCTTTGCCGACGCGTCGGTGATTGCGCCGCTCGGAGCCATCTCCGTGCTGTCCAACGCGTTTATCGCGGCCCTCGTGCTCGGGGAGGGCCTGCGCTGCCGCGACCTCATCGGCTGCTGCCTCTGCATCGCCGGCGGCGCCGTCATCGTCGCGTCTTGCTCGACGCACGACTTGCAGGTGGAGCCGACAAGAAGAAGAAACGAATCCGACCCATCCTACCGAGCATCATAAGGATGAGTCGAGGGACGAAGCTGCAGGTGGACGCCGACGTGCACTCCTTCCTCTCGCGGCTGCAGGACCGCGCCGTATCTCAATCCACTGGCAGCGCAGGACCGTATCTCAGTCCACTGGCAGCGCAGGACCGTATCTCAGTCCACTGGCAGCGCAGGACGTGGCACGGACACCCAACAGCCCGCCTTCTCTTCAGAAGGGCACACACGCCCGGCCACAGACACGGGGAGGCACGTAGTGGATCTAACGCAAGGGAGTGTCAGCGAGGGCGGCGCCCTGCAGGACCGGATCTTTCTGGTCCACATCTCCCCACATCTCCCCATATCTCCCCATATCTCCCCACATCTCCCCATATCTCCCGATCGCAGGACCGAATCTTTCTGATCTACATGCTCTGCCTCACGATCCTTACCGGGCTGATGCTCGGCTTCCAGGAGATATTTATACGGGGAGATACGGGGAGATACGGGGAGATGTGGGGAGATCCTCACCGGGCTGATGCTCGGCTTCCAGGAGATATTTATACGGGGAGATACGGGGAGATACGGGGAGATCCTCACCGGGCTGATGCTCGGCTTCCAGGAGATATTTATACGGGGAGATGTGGGGAGATACGGGGAGATCTGGGGAGATCCTCACCGGGCTGATGCTCGGCTTCCAGGACAAGTATGGCCATCTCCCCCCATTCCTCCCCACATCTCCCCCTCTCTCCAGGACAAGTATGGCCACGCTCACGTCGGCTACTACGTCCTGCTCTGCTCCATGTTGGGCGCGGTGACCCAGAAGCGGAAGAGTTAGTCTCGTCTTCCAGCCAGCGCTCGAGAGGAGACGCACTCCGCTGTAACTCGACCGTATTCGGCGGGAGTCACTGTCTTCGCAGCCCCTCGTACTCACGCGGCGCCCTGGAGACGCTGCACGAGACCGTAGTCTCGCCGCGAGGGGGTGGCGTCTTCAGCACGTAGGTAGGCACGGTCAGCTCGCCCAGCTCTGCTACCACACCACCCACGGGACGGAACCCGCACTGGGTTCGACCACTCTGGAGGTGTGGTGCACGTAGGCTCGGTGACGGTCATGGCGTGCAAGGGCGCCTCTTCCCCCCCCCCCCCTCTCTGCCGCGCCGCGAGAGCTGCGCGAAGAGGCGCTGTTCACAGCTCGGCCCGTGAATAGGCGTCTCGACGATGCTCAACCTAGATCTCCCTCATATCTCCCCCATATCTCCCCATATCTCCCCTAGGCGTCTCGACGATGCTCAATTTGTGGATTTGCTGCGGAGGCCACCCGCCTCCCCATCGCACCCTTCACACCCTCCCATCACACCCTCCCTTCACACCCTTCACACCCATCACACCCTCCCTTCACACCCTCCCTTCACACCCTCCCATCACACCCTTCACACCCTCCCATCACACCCTCCCATCGCACCCTCCCATCGCACCCTCCCATCGCACCCTTCACACCCTCCCATCACACCCTCCCTTCACACCCTTCACACCCATCACACCCTCCCTTCACACCCTCCCATCACACCCTCCCCATCGCACCCTTCACACCCTCCCATCACACCCTCCCTTCACACCCTTCACACCCATCACACCCTG